TTCCCACAACCAAAGTCAGTGAGGAAGCTGGCAGAAAGTTGCAAGTCCCAGGCCCACAGGCAGGTAAGTGGCTGCTGCTGGGTGGGGGAGGGAGTGAGAGGCTGCACAAGAGGCACTGTGCAGGTCAGGGAGGGTTGGGGAGGGTGCAAGGGTGTGTGTGAGAGGTGCTGCGCAAGTTGGGGAGTGTGAGAGGCATTGCGCAGGCTAGGGAGGGTGTGCCGGGGTCTGGAGCGGATTGGGGAGGGTGCATGGGGGTGTGCGAATGGCTGGTGTGGTGTGAGCGCAGAGGAGTTAGGGGAAGGTGCGTGGGTGGGGGAAGCTTACCCCAGAAGCTTGCAACCTTCCCTGCCAGTTTACCCACTGACTTTCTGGGGAAGCTGGCAAGGAAGGTTGCAAATGGCAATCATGTGATCACAGGGTGCTTGGCAACTGGTCGTAAGTGCAAACAGGTTGCCAAGCACCCAGATCATGATCATGTGACTGCGGGGGTGCTGGGACAAGGACTGGTCATAACCACCATTGGTTCACTGCCATTATAACTGGGAACGGTCACTAACCGAATGGTCGTAGGTCGAGGACTACCTCTACTTATATACTGGGACTGATTTAGTGGAGTCTTACAATAAGCAGAGAGTTGGCCTAGAGGACCTATATGAACCCTTCGAAGTAACATTCTATGGTTTCTTCTGCAAAATAATAATATGCCACAGGTACAGGTAGTCCTTGACTTATGACCACAATTGGGACCAGAACTTCCATTGCTAAGCAATGTGGTCATTATGTATGTCATGCCCAATTTTATGACCTTTTTTGTCATGGTCATTAAGCGAATCACCACGATTGTTAAGTGAATCATGTGGTTGTTAAGCAAATCTGGCTTCCCCGATTGATTTTGCTTGTTGGAAGCCCCCTGGGAAGGTTGCAAATGGTGATCACATGACCCCAGGATGCTGCAACCATCATAAATACATGCCAGTTGCCAAGCACCTGAATTTTGACATTGTGACTGCAGGGACACTGCAACGGTCATAAATGTGAGGACTGATTGTAAGCCACTTTTTTCAGTGCTATCGTAATTTCGAATAGTCATTAAACAAATGGTTGTAAGTTGAGGACTACTTGTAGTTTAAATTCATTCCTCTTTATGTTTTATACTTCTTGTAAGCTCAAGCATTGAGCTATGTCTTCAACAATTGTTTTATACAAATTACAAATCCAAAAATCCTTCTTCTTGTATTACATGAGCAGTTTATGTTTTATGAAAGTCAAACTTCAAGTAACATTTAGCAAACTATAAGAAAAAGCTTTCTGCCAAAAAGCAACGATGAATATGATAGATGAACATATAAATATGTCATCTCATATATTGGCTCAATGTTCCTTAGCAGAAAGGTATGCGTTCCACCAGACAAACATGCAGAGCAAGAGGAAGGGGCAGAAGTGAAATCTGAAATTTGTTTAGAAACATGTTCAGGAAATATGTACTTCACATAAATTTAAACTGATAGCCAAATGAGCTGGATTTAGAGTACTGAATTACGGGGTGCAGAGTGAATTACGGGGTGCAGACTATTCAGTCTGATATCAATACCCAGGAGTATTCTAAAGCAGATTATAAAGAGATTGATTGTAAGCACCTTCAAAACTATACCATAATTACTAGAAATCACCATGGATTTGTCAATGTTTTGCCATGCTTACCTCTTTTTTTTGGTTAGGGTTATAAGCTGGTTGTGTGGGTTGAACCGCATAACAATTAAGTGAAAAGGAATGGATTTTCTAGTAGATCACAAGGTGAACATGAGTCAACAATATGATGCAGCTGCCAGTAAAGTAATGTGTAGAGTTCAGATCACAGGAAGTAATTATCCCACTCTATGCTGCCCTGGTCAGCCCCCACTTGGAAAGTTATGTGCAGCTCTGGGCACCATGGAGAAAAAGGACATTAACAAATAGGATTTAATTTGGAGAAGAGCAATCAATATGGTGAGGCAACTGGAAATCAAGTCTTATGAGGAATAGTTACAGGAACTGGGTATGTTTAGCCTGCAGAAGTGATAACTGAAGTAGATATGTTAGCAATCTTCAGAAATCTAAAAAGCTATCATATAGGGGAGACAGTGGATTTGTTCTCTGTTGCCCAAAGGGCAGAATCAGAATGAGCGGGTTGAAACTACAGAAAGTAGATTCAGGTTAGATATTAGGGGGAATTTCTTGGTGGTAAGAGCTGTCACCCAGTGGAATAGGTTGCCTCTTCAAATGTTATATTCCCCTTCACTGGATGTCTTCAAACAGATCCCAAATTCTTTACTAGATCCTATACTTAAAGGGGGTTGGACTAGATGACCTGTGAGGTATCTTCCAACTCTATGATTCTATGAAATGGAAAATCAGAGTCAGAGCATGTTCATTATTAATTATTCATCAAACCTGAATGGGGATCAAGTGGCACGTCACAAGATTCAGATCTGGGCCTGTATTCTTCAATATGTTTATAAATGTCTTGCATAAAGAGGTAAGGATTACTTATTAAATTTGCAAATAACATAAAATTGGGCATCTAGCTAATATCCTAGAAGACAGAAATAAAATTCAAAATTATCTTGATAGAGAAATGGATTTAAAATAACAATGTAATTAGTTTGTTCATCAGTTAGAAAAAAAAATTCAAATAAAAGATAGGAGATAACTAGTTGGTAATACTGGTTAAAAGGTCTTGGAATAGCTTAAGCTGTGTATTGGTCAGCATATACAAAGGGGCTGCAAAAAAACCCAAATTAATTTTCAGGCTGCATTAACAGAAGTATGGTTTCTGAAATAGTACACTTTGTGTTGGTCAGATGCTTATCTTCAAGTATTGTGTCCAGTTTTTTTTAATAAGAACTTTATTATATTACAAAGTACAATTAAAATACAAAACATAAAGTACAGCAAAGAGAGAAGATAG